GTGGGAATGACAGTGAGGAGTCACTGGAAGAAAGTGACGCGTTGTAGACATCAAGTTATGCAATAGTGATATCTTGAATGACTTGGACTCTAAGTTGCAGCACACAACTGATACTCAGCGGGATGATTTAACAGCTATCATTGAAGAATTTAAGGACTTGTTCCCTGATACTCCAAAGCGCAATCCAATGTCATGATGCATGATGTGGGCGTGGAAGGTGCCCCTCCTGTGAGACAACACCCTTACAGAATGAATCCACAGAAGAAGGCCTATCTCAAAGAAGAAATCCAATACATGCTGGACAACAACATACTAGAGCCGCTCTAAACAGTGATTGGAGTTCTCCATGTATCCTGGTGCCAAAGCCTGGCAATAAATTCGGGCGTGTGCTGATCTGAGACAGATTAACCGATTGGTTAAGGCCGACTCTCACCCTCTACCACGCATCGATGACTGCATTGATAATGTTGGCCATGCTGTCTTCATAACGAAGCTTGACCTCCTTAAAGGGCTATTACCAAATCCCATTAACAGAGCGTGCCAAGAGAATCCTGACTATTGTGACCCCAGATGGCCTGTATCAGTATCGGGTCATGCCTTTTGGACTGAAGACGGCACCTGCAGCTTTTCAGCGGTTGATGAATCTGGTACTAGCTAATATTGCTGGTGTGGAGGTATACATCGGCGATGTCATTATTGGATCTGACACCTGGGAGGATCACCTGGCTACTCTGAGGGAAGTGTTTACTCGTCTCAGGGAAGCAAACTTGACAGTCAACTTGGCAAAATGTGAATTTGGTCAAGCACAAGTTACATTCCTTGGACACATAGTTCGATTTTAGGGAAGGTAGCTCCAATCACAGCTAAAGTTGATAGTATTATCAACTTTTCTCAACCTAAAACATGTAAGGAGGTCGCCGGTTCCTGGGAATGGCTGGTTATTATCCCGAAGATTCTGTCCAAATTTTGCTTCAGTGGCAGCTCCTATTACAGCATTATTGAAGAAGGGGTGAAGTTCAACTGGACAGAAGACTGCGAAAGCACGGTTTCCAGCTCCTGAAGACTATGCTCTGTTCCACACCAGTGTTAGCTGCACCCGTGTTCACAAAGCCTTTCAAACTAGCTGTGGGCGCCAAGTGCCTTAGGATGTGGAGCAGTGTTGTTCCAGGAAGATGACAGGGGAATGGACCATCCAGTGAGCTACTTCTCACGGAAGTTCAACAAGCATCAGCTTAACTATTCTACTGTGGAGAAGGAAGCATTAGGACTGGTTTTGGCGTTAAAGCACTTTGAAATTTATGTAAGATGTGCTTCTTAGATCAGGTTATGGTCTACACTGATCATAACCCATTAACATTTATCCATCGGATGAAGGACACAAACCAGCTGGTGTTGCGATGGAGTCTTATGCTCCAGGAGTACCCTATTAAAATTGAACACATCAAAGGAAGCAATAACATTATTGCTGACGCCTTTATCGAGATGTGCTTTGATGTGATGTGATTGATGTTATTATCATTAAGTCATGTGACTGTGTCTACGACAAGGCATACAACTGTTGATTAGTTTGATGGTTTTTGTCAGATATATTCACTACATGTATATGTGTATGCATGTTTATCATATTCATTGTTTTCACGTAATGGTGTTAATTATTAATTTGTCAGCAAATTTGTACACATCTATGTATAGCAAATTTCCTAATTTAGAGGGGGTCATGTGACGAAAACCCAGATCAAGTTGACTTCAATACAATTTATGTAGTCCATGTGTGTTGTCACGGACATATCATGTCAAGTATTAAAGTCAACTTTTTGAACCTAACGTAAATCTTGTATCATACAACTAGCCCATAATATTCAGTTTTCCGTCTATATGATCTAATTTATATAAACGTGTTTATTTTGGGAGAAATACAGTATTTTCCTCTATTAATGCCAATAGAAGACTATTTTCAAGTCTTTATTGAGACTATATCTTCATTATTAGTGAATGTAGAACAATTAAAATAATATGTGATGGTAGCCACTAACGTCTGCTATCACATGTCCAGATTTGATTCATAAGATTAACGAATATTTTTTTGGCTTTATCATAAAACTTGATGCTTGAGAAACACAGTCTCTAAGTTTCAAGTATCATTTTCAATCTTTCTTGGCCAAGTCAGAGGTTGTCCCCTCTGACGTCCGGCAACTCCCTATAAATTCTCAAACCATTCTAGTTGGGGGCAGTTCCCACGGTGGACTCACTCCAACTAGGACCTCTGGGAACGCTGGACACAGGAATATGTTGGTAAGTTCCTTGTAATCTTACCTTCAGTCTGGCGTTCCAATTATTACTTTACGTAATACACTATTCCTGTCAGGGGTATTTGTATTATTACTGTTTCTTCATGTCCATATAGGCTTAATAGGAGTTCAGCTCATTGATACGTATTGCAATTTTAATTTGGGTTATTCAGATCTACATGTATAGTCCTAATAAATGTATTAACATTACTGTTTGGTTGTGCTCTTTTTAATATATATTATTTTATCTTGGTTCACTGGTGCGGTCATTATGGTGTCTCTAGACGACCACACATGGTTGAGCCAATGACCCTTAACGCAGGGGTCATTACCGCTGCCAGCACCGTGACAAGGACCAAAAGCGGAAGTTCCACGCCCCAGCTTGGGATCTGAATGTAGTGTTACAACACCTCACGAGTGAGGTCTATGAACCTTTGGAATCGACAAACTTTGAATTTCTCTCACAGAAAACACTGTTTCTGCTATCGCTAGCCACAGCAGCAAGAATGTCTGAAATTCACGCTCTGGATTACGAGAGGATACAGTTTGATGACAATCATAACACAGCGCACCTCGGATTAAGATGGGATTTCATCGCAAAAAATCAACTGCCAGGTCAACCAGACAGATTATTCCACATCCCGGCGCTTATCCTCTATTCTTGGATCACAAGATACACAAGACCTATCACTGTGTCCGTAAGAGAGCCAAAGTTTATTTTACTGACGATCCAAAACAAGGAGAAGATTTCTCAAACGCGTTTATTCATCCCATTATCAGCCACTTAATCAAACAGAAGTGTCACGGACCACAATATCTATTTGGATAAGGACTGTCATTCTCCTGTGCCTACAAGGCAGCAGGCTTGGACCCACCAACAGCATCAAATCCACATGAGATCAGGGCACTGGCCTCTACCCTCGCCCTACACGTAACTGTTCCTTGAACACGATTATGGAAGGATGCTATTGGAAATCTAACATGGTATTTGCTAATCACTACCTAAGAGACATCACTACAGAAGATGTCTCTGGCATTCACCATTTCGACCACTGGTCCTCGCCAGCAACTGACAGTCCCTCGTAGGGCTTAAAATATTATCCTCACAAGATTAATATGTATTTTATACATACTCATCTAGCTTATAACTCTACACGGAGTTTTAGGGCTATGTATATATGTTCAGCTTAAGTATTCAACCTTAAGCATATACTTGATATAGTCAATTTCAGTGCCTCTATCAGAGTCACCTATATATATATATATAATTTATATGTATTGTTCAATATATTCATAATGTAATTCCCCTTTAATGGCTTTATATAACCTATGGTTTTCTTTATACAGGAAACATCCTAAATCTAAGCCTTCATGAAGTTCCCGTAGGGGATATTACAGTATATCTATACAAAATCACTAATTATAAATCCAAAGTATTCTGTTACCCACCTCCGTTCCGTAGGATGCTACAAGCAAAAGAGCATGAGTCAGGATAAGGAAAAAATATGTAATTTTTTAGAGTAAAATTGATATTTTATACTTATCCTGACTCATGAGGTTAGCCCTCCCATCCTCCCCACATAACACTTTGGATTTCCCTGTAAATTCAAGTGTTGGGCTCGCTAAATCAGGAGAGAGTGGAGCACATGGCCAGAGGGTGGCGACACCTTTCCCGCCAGGGGAGACAAAGGGGAGCAACTCGTGGTGAGTACCAATTAGTGATTTTATTTTGAAGGGAGCTTCAAATAAGGAGATACAAGTGTTCCACTATGTTCGCAAGAAGAAAAAGACAAGCAAAAGAGCATGAGTCAGGATAAGTATAAAATATCAATTTTACTCTAAAAATTACATTTTTGAGAAGTTATGGTCAGTTAAGTCCCTTTGCTGGGATGGGTTCATGAGTTGTACTCAACAGTGTACACAAGCCCATAAAGTTTGTTGATGCAAATACTGATCAACCCCTCCAACTCTGTAAACACATACTGTTAATTAACATTGAAACACCCAAATCTATAGTTAATTTCCATAGCCCTCTTTCTGCAGGGGTGGTGGAGTAGCCCAGTGGTTAAAGCGTTCGCTCGTCACGCCGAAGACCCTGGTTCGATTCCCCACATGGGCACAATGTGTGAAGCCAATGTCTGGTGTCCCCCGCCTTGATATAGCTGGAATATTGCTAAAAGCTGTGTAAAACCATACTCACTCACTCACTCACTCATTCTTTCTGCAAACCGTGTTCTTCAAATTTAAGTACTTCTTCAGAAATCTATACATACACAGTCCACACATTGTCATGTTTTTACCCCTTCTGATGATGAACCTACTGACCAAGTGTTTAAGCTCTGGTTTTCTCAATCTATACACGAAACATACAACTTTATGGATGACAACTTCTTGTTTATTGCATAGAGCGATGTTTCCATGTAGATTCTTACACCGTTATCAAGACTTTCAGCTTGATAACAGTGTAAGAATCTACATCAAAACGTCGTCGCTCTCTGCAATAAACAAGAAATTGTCATCCATAAAGTTTTATGTTCGATTTTTGACACCAACTTCCAGAATGACGATCAAACAATCAATCTATACATGTCATGATTTTAATGCTTACACAACTTTTGACATGAAAAGACCATAGGCCGAAGGCATGGAATGTTTGTCAAAATGGATTTAAGAGGTTAGTGTCTTGGTTTGAATGTAGACAGTTGTTTTCAGCCTGATCCACAGTATCGTGACCCGAGTGATCCGCCTGGCCAAGAACAAGAACAACATCTCCCTGGCCCCGGCCCTGGTGGAGACATACAGCAGACTGCTGGTGTACATGGAGATCGAGTCACTCGGCATCAAGGGCTTCATCAGTAAGTCAGCAGTTACCTCCCTTCAGGAAGTCTTGAAGTAGGGGATAGCAGTGTCAGCCATATTCTGAGATCTCAGAAATTACGTGACTAAATACTGAAATATGATATTCTCAATACAGGAGGGCCATATTCATTTTTAATTTTTTGACAACTTGGAATGTTAGCCTCACACTAATATCAGTTGGATTCCGTGTGCCAAGAACCTGTAATTAGTATAAATCCCAGAATTTTGACCTGATTATTTCAGCGATCACAGTGGCTCTAAACTAATCACTGTGTGTTTGTCCTTCCAGGCCAGCTTCTGCCGACTGTGTTCAACAGCCATGCCCTTGGCATCTTGCACACCCTGCTGGAGATGTTCAGCTACCGACTGCACCACACCCAGATCCACTACCGTATCCAGCTCCTGGGACATCTCCACACACTGGCCACCATCCAGCAGACTAACCAAAATCAGCTGCACCTCTGGTAGGAGAAATGTGGGGTGGGGTAGCTGAACCTATGGTAGGGGTGGGGCCAGGTGGGGTAGCTGTGCCTCCAGCTAGGGGAAGAAGGGAAGCTCCAACTTTGCTTCTGATAGTGGAGGGGTGGTGGGGTAGCTGGGCCTGTGCCTCTGGTAGGAGAGGGGTGGAGGGGTAGCTGAACCTGTGCCTTTGGTAGGAGAGGGATGGAGGGGTAGCTGGACCTGTGCCTCTGGTAGGGGAGGGGTGGAGGGGTAGCTGGACCTGTGCCTTTGGTAGGAGAGGGGTGGTGGGGTAGCTGGACCTGTGCCTCTGGTAGGGGAGGGATGGAGGGGTAGCTGGACCTGTGCCTCTGGTAGGGGAGGGGTGGAGGGGTAGCTGGACCTGTGCCTCTGGTAGGGGAGGGGTGGTGGGGTAGCTGGTCCTGTGCCTCTGGTAGGGGAGGGGTGGAGGGGTAGCTGGACCTGTGTTTTGCCAAAATGGAGCAACCAAGTTGACATGCGTCGATCAGACAACTATCTAAGTATCACTAAGATCAGTTGTATTGGATAGGGACAGAAGGATTTGATTACCCAGTGCCAGTATGTACCAGTATTTCTGTGTTTACATGCAGTCATATCTGTGTGTATTTCCAGTGTTGAGAGTACAGCGTTACGCCTGATCATCAGCCTCGGCAGTTACGAGGTTCAGCCCCAGTTGTCTCGAATCTCCAATGAGTCAAAGAGTAATTCCTTCCTGGCTGGCGAGTCTGAGGAACTCAACAGAGCCCTTGTGCTGACACTGGCCAGATCCGTTCACATCACAGGTGAGTCACTAGCCAGATCCGTTCACATCACAGGTGAGTCACTAGCCAGATCCGTTCACATCACAGGTGAGTCACTAGCCAGATCCGTTCACATCACAGGTGAGTCACTAGCCAGATCCATTCACATCACAGGTGAGTCACTAGCCAGATCCGTTCACATCACAGGTGAGTCACCAGCCAGATCCGTTAACATCACAGGTGAGTCACTAGCCAGATCCGTTAACATCACAGGTGAGTCACTAGCCAGATCCGTTCACATCACAGGTGAGTCACTAGCCAGATCCGTTCACATCACAGGTGAGTCACTAGCCAGATCTGTTCACATCACAGGTGAGTCACTAGCCAGATCCGTTCACATCACAGGTGAGTCACTAGCCAGATCCGTTCACATCACAGGTGAGTCACTAGCCAGATCCGTTCACATCACAGGTGAGTCACTGGCCAGACCTGACATGGTGTTCATGGTGCTTATAAATTTAAGTCACTGATTTGCTATATATATACAGAATGGCGGGTCAGTCCCTCAGACATGTCATACTATTATTCAACGTGTCTGAAGAGTGTATCCATGTAAACTTTTTCATGATAAACTCTGGGCTAGCATGATAAAACTGCCATAATTTCATACCAGTACTTTATCACATGCACTTCGCTATATGAGTAAAAATATCTGAAACACAATGTTGAACCTCACCTCGCCACCTCCACCGTCCGAGGGTCCAAGATATATCCCTGTATGGTGTATGAATTGGTCTGAAACCCATGCTTGTTGTAAGAGGCGACTCACGGGATTGGGTGGTCAGGTTGGCTGACACAGGTCATCGTATCCAAAAAGTTTACTTAGTGACTAATGCACACTTGTGTATACTGCTTGTCCAGTGTAGTTGTTTGTTGGCAGGCCAACAGAGTTACATCAAGCTTCATAAAGTTTACATAGTGACTGAGGCACACTTGTGTATACTGCTTGTCCAGTGTAGCTGTTTGTTGCCAGGCCAACAGAGTTACATCAAGCTTCATAAAGTTTACATAGTGACTGAGGCACACTTGTGTATACTGCTTGTCTAGTGTAGTTGTTTGTTGCCAGGCCAACAGAGTTACATCAAGCTTCATAAAGTTTACTTAGTGACTGAGGCACACTTGTGTATACTGCTTGTCCAGTGTAGCTGTTTGTTGCCAGGCCAACAGAGTTACATCAAGCTTCATAAAGTTTACATAGTGACTGAGGCACACTTGTGTATACTGCTTGTCTAGTGTAGTTGTTTGTTGCCAGGCCAACAGAGTTACATCAAGCTTCATAAAGTTTACATAGTGACTGAGGCACACTTGTGTATACTGCTTGTCCAGTGTAGTTGTTTGTTTGACAGGCCTGGATAGCTACTCCAACAACTGGTGCAAGGAGATCCTGATGTCGATCATGCAGAACACGCCGGTGGGGTGGCCATCACACACGCTGCAGTACTTCCCTCCCACCCTGGCCGACTACTTCAACCAGAACCCCGTCCTCAAGGACGACAAGAACCAGCTGAAGAGGAGTGTGGAAACAGAGTACAAGAAGTGGAAGAGTAATTTTTACCTTATTGTCAATGTGTGAAACCCATTACTGGTGTCCCCCACCATGATATTGCTGGAATATTGCTAAAAGCAGCATAAAACCAAACTCACTCACACACTCTTTATAAATGCCTACAAAATTCCCAGTTACAATTGGTCTTGAGTCATTTTATTTGTTGTGCGCAAATATCGATGCTCATGATGTCAGTCACTGGATTGTCTGGTCCAGACTCGATAAGTTACAGATGCCGTCATTTAGCTGGAATGTTGTGTGTGGCATTAAACAACAAATAAACTTTTGAAATATCTTGCATAAGTAAAAAGTGTTGAAATGATCTTCTCCTGCAGGCATGGTGAATGAAAATGATCTGATCGCCCACTTCTCCATGCAGGGCAACGCTCCATTGTTTCTCTGGTGAGTGAAAACTCTGGTATTTCGTAATATACTCTCAAGGACGAGTAAAGTGGTTATTTTCTCAACTAATATGGTAACATGTACCAATTAATATGTTATTGGAACACTGTTATTGTTTTACCAATGTGTTGATATATGATGCCATCAGGACTGTTCAGTCAACACCACAGATAGTGTTACTTAAAACTTCTGTGATAGTCAGCAAGTGATGTTGGTGCACTACAGTATCTCCTCTTCTGTTCTGACTGCCTCTGCTCTGGTGTGGGTAGAGTGTCAGAGGAGAGTGGGGTGTGTTGGTGGTTCAGTCCCAAGCAAGACCATTCCTAATGATTTTAAAAGACTAGAATTATTTGCTCACTCGCAAAGTGCATGCATAATACTACATAAGTACAATATTGTGGACATTAAACTTCCTCTATTCATCTCATTGTGAAGTGTATTCTGTCAGCTCAATCAACACGCAATTCCAAGGAATGAATCAGTCTGATTGTCAATGTGTGGCTAGTACTTACAGTCCAAAAACATTAAGAAAAGCTTTCAATGTACAAGTATTAAGTTTTTAAAAGTATTCTTTCAGCAAATTTTTAACCAAAAGAAAACTGGTAGTGAGTTTGTTGGTCACTTTATTTGCCATGGTCATGTGAACATGATAATAGGGGCGGTGGGGTAGCCTAGTGGTTAAAGCGTTGGCTCGTCATGCCGAAGACCCGGGTTCGAATCCCCACATAGGTACAATGTGTTAAGCCCATTTCTGGTGTCCCTCCGCCGTGATGTTGCTGGAATATTGCTAAAAGCGGCGTAAAACCAAAACTCAGTCAGTCAGAACATGATAATAATGGCAATATCCAATGTGTGTGCTGAATGAATGGGTAGGTATTGTATGGGAGCAAGTTGTAAATATCCCTTTGAACCTGTTATAACTTGAGTTGATAGTGTCTGGTTTTCAGTGTCAACTTTGTAACTTCCGTATACACAGTAATGGTAACAACATGCAGTGAAAACAAACAATTGCTTGCTGTTATTTGTGAAACGTGTATGTTCTGTTCCAGCATCATATTCAAGAGTTTGCTGGAGGACAGCAGAGTCTCACCTACAGCATACAAGTGAGTCAAGTAGTTTCATGAGATATGTTTCAACATTCTGTCACTTTTGAGACTTTAAGAGGATGCATTGAGGTCTGTCTTTAACTTAATATTTCCTCCATTACTTCCACAGGGTCCTTGATCGTCTCGGACCACGAGCACTGTCGGCTCATCTCCGAGCATTTGCAGATTACCTGGTGTTTGAGTTCACCACTGTTTCTGGGAATCAGAACATAAACAGGGTAGGTTGATACAGGAAGACATAAAACAAGTGCCAGTTATGGTTACTATGGTTACCACTGGTTCCTGAAGTTGTGTGTATGTTGCCAAAAAGGTAGTACTTTTCCAGTAAAGTTTACATGATTTATTGCTTTAGGTGAAAATTATGGAGAAGCATTTTGATGTTTGTAACACAACAGACTTTGAATTATTTCCTACATGAAATGGAATTATGGGGTCTTTATATGATGTGTATTTCATGTTTCAGTACATGGAAGCTCTGAATGAGATGATCTGGAGAAGCAACATCGTCACCATAGATAGACTTGTTCTCTGCCTGGTAAGACCAAGTTGGGGAGGCAACTGCTTATAGTGTGTGCTCACCAGTTTATTTGGGTGACCATGACCTTATCTTCAAGGTCACCACGACACTTTTCAAACTCTTGTTAATGCGATATCTCATCATGGACTGTTGTACCCAGTATCTCCAAATTTGGTGACAGCCTACATTGGGGGATTACGCAGACACCAGTTTATTTGGGTGACCTCGACCTTATCTTCAAGGTCACCATAACTCTTTGCACACTTTAAACTCTTGTTAACGCGATATCTTATGGACTGTTGTACCCAATGTCTTCAAATTTGGTGACAGCCTACATTGAGGGATTACACAGACACCAGTTGATTTGGGTGAACTTGACCTTATCTTCAAGGTCACTATGACACTTTGACCACTTTTCAAACATATTTAAACGTGATATCTCATAAAACATTGCAGCCAATGTTTTCAGTTATGTTGACAGCCTACATTGGGTGATTATGCAGACACCAGTCATTTCAGACACCAGTATGTGACCAAAAAAATAAGAAATAGTAAATATAGATATTCCATTCTTTAGCGGCAGGGGACATTGCCATATCAGTGGCAAACACTTGTTTTGTTTTGGTCTTTTTGGGGTGTGTGGAGGTTGTGTGATACAGTCTTTTACTTTATAAACTTTAGAGACTATGAACCCAAATTTGGCAGTTATATTCTCAGTAGGTTGTAGAGTAGTATTACCTGAGGTCACTAAAACAGAATTGGCCTAGATCCTGTTTTCGCAGTCCGGACAGTTAATTGGTTAATATTTTCAGTATATGGGAACATAAACACTAAAATGATTGCTTGGTTGGCCAATCGAATGTGGTATAATCATATTCAGTTGATTTACTTCTGTTAAACTGAGGGGCGGTGGGGTAGCCCAGTGGTTAAAGTGTTCGCTCGTCACGCCGAAGACCCAGGTTCAATTCCCCACATGGGCACAATGTGTGAAGCGCATTTCTGGTGTCCCCCGCCGTGATATTTCTAGAATATTGCTAAAAGTGTTGTAAAACCCAACTCACTCACTCAATGTTTAAACCGACAGATCCTTCGTAACCTGGAGGCGAACGAGGCTCAGATGCGATGCCTTATTGTGCAGCTGCTGCTGGTGCATCTGCCTGACTTCAAGAACAGAGTCCACGACTTTGTCAAGGATGTAAGTAATGTACATCAATGTACATCAAATACATACTAGTATAATGGACAATAGGTGAACAGAAGCTATTCCTTTTCAAAATTCACTCTCCGCATCAACAGTTACTTGAATTATAACTATAGTAGTGTACAGTATTATACTATCATATAGTGTACATCGTCATGGCATTAAATGTTTAGTAATTATGAGAAAGGTTTTTCTTTTGAACAAATTATTTCATTACTTGATTGAAGAAATTTGTTTTTCTTGTTGATTTAGTGTGTTGATGAATTGATTCTTCAGAACACACCTGAGCATTGGCAGCAAGCTAACTGGCATGAGAAACACATGGCATTCCATAAGGTAAGTCTGTTGACTTCTATCAGTTGTCAGTGTTATAGGAGAGTGTGACACAAGCATGTGGGATAGGTGACCACAGTAGCTGTTGCTTGTGAATATGTATGTTTGCAAAAGAACATGTGTGTATACTGAAACCTTGTCCCATTCTCTGATTGAACATGTCACTCACTCACTCACCTACTCACTCACTCACTCACTCACTCACTCACGCACTCACTCACTCACTCACTCACTTATTTGACAGGTTACAAACTCAAATTTTTCAAATTGATGAATTATTTATTTACATTCATCTAACATGTCATTTAAGTCCACCCTACACTTGATTGCTTACCAGTACATAAGATAGGTGGATGTATGCATATAGTGTTTAACACCATTCCCATTTTATAATTGGTCTTCAGCGACCCATGCTTGTCGTAAGAGGCGTCTTAGAGTCACAAGAGGTGGTCGCTGACTCGATTGACTCATGTCGTCATATCCCCATTGCATAGATCGATGCTAATGGTGTTGATCACTGGATTGTCTGGTCCAGACTCGATTATTTACAGTCTGCCGCCATATAGCTGAAATATTGCCGAGTGTTACGTTAAACAACAAACAAACAAAGAAACAAAACACCATTGCCAGACCCCTGAGTGTTTTTTTCAGAAATACCCGGAGAAGTTCTACTACGAGGGGATCCAGGACCTAAACAACCCCATCCACCATCAGCATCTTCCCGTCTACTTCGGCAACGTCTGTCTCCGCTTCCTGCCGGTAACACCACCACACTGCTCATACCTTTCCACAGGGAGTCATTTACAGTATCATAAAAACAATCACCATTAGAAACACTGTAACACCTAATTAACAAACAACTATTGTGAAAGGCGAGACAAATGAAGATGAGTAGCGCATCCTAGCTTGCTTTTTGAAGTTCTGGATTTTGTCCTAGAAGTGACTGGATGTATATGGAAAGACTTATCTGTCAGTGGGGGTGTGGTGGACCTTACGTGCTGAATGGACATCACAAAAACAAAAATCCTTGCAATGAATTTATAATTACTTGTGTGACAAAATCAGATATTTCTTATGGCCGCCATTGAGCGCAGTATCATAACTTTGAACAAGGTCAAGTATGACATGACAATTGTATGTCATTAACAAAGTACAAAGACCATATGATGCCCTTACAGATATGTTTTTTTTGTTACCCCAGCAAATCAGATACTTGGATTATATTAAAGTATTTTATGTTCCTGATATGTGGCAGGTGCTTGATGTGACGATCCACCGACTCCTGGAGTTCCAGAAAGTGCAGAAGATCCTTGAGAGTATCTTGGACCAGATCGGCTGCCTCTACAAGTTCCATGGTCAGGACAATTTGTGAAGCCCATTTCTGGTGTCCCCCGCCGTGATGTTGCTGGAATATTGCTTAAAGCGGCGTAAAACCAAATTCAGTCAGTCAGTCAGTCCATGGTCAGGACAGTATGGTTGCAAGGGGAATTTCTGGATGCTGATGTATCCAAACTAAGATACCATACATATTATAACACCTGTTTGGTGTATCCATTCTTCTTCCATTGTTCTTGTCATGATATTTGCCACCATTCTGTTCAAATCAGTCACATATGTTTTGCACTAACTGGCTGGAGAATTCTTACCCCTTGGATATTTGTGAATTGATGACAGAGGACAGATAAAAGGAGGAAATCTGAGACTGTGGCTTCCTGAAGTCTTCTTAATGAACAAATAAGGTAAGAAAAGGAACTGATGACTTGTTTCAGACCGACCAGTGACGTACCTGTATAATACACTGTTCTACTATGAGAAGCGTCTGTCTGGGAAGTCAAGTCTCAAGAGGAAGCTTGTCCAGGGAATTATCGGTAAGAACTGGTCAGGGTTTTACTTTAGTCTCTGTGATTATTATGACAAACATTAAGATTGATGCTACCTTATTATTAATCTCTCCTCAAGCAGTCAGCACTGGAATCGTCCTGGTCTGGTAAACCCTTTTACTGGTTGTGTGAAGGGGAGATAACTCCATTAGCTCCTTCAAGCTGTTATTGTTTCACAGTAATCAAATTATTTCCAAATCTATTTCATATGAGGAGAGTGTTTAATTCCCTGGTAATTTCATGATAAGAGAATCAGGTTTAGTCCGTTATTAATTTTATTTCATTATGTGAAGTGAGAAGGGCAAGGTTCAACACTTGCTTGTTGTCTTCCACTGTGTAACAATAGAAATCTGAGGAAGGCCCTTTTCTTGAGGTCAGACATACTTAGTTTGGTTATTAAAGCATTACCTCCTCCTTCAAATAGTGTAAAGGGAACCACATCTTAATTCCTACATCTAAAACGTGCTCCTTATGTGGCAAAATTCATACTTAGTTTGGTTATTAAAACATTACCTCCTCCTTCAAATAGTGTAAAGGGAACCGCATGTTAATTCCTACATCTAAAATGTGCTCCTTATGTGGCAAAATTACAGTTATAAATGTGACAAATAAACATCATAATTGCAAGACAGCAACTGAGATTAAGTTTCAATGCCCGAATGAAAGATTCTTATACCTGTCTCTCACCACCATTACACATCTTCAGCTGGGGCTTTCAAGGAGATCCGGCAGCCCAACTGGTGTCTGTCAGAGGACTACAACCGTCTGCTGCAGATGCCCCACGATGACCTCAGCTGGATCCCCGACCAGGACTACTACGTCCGACTCATCGCTCGCCTCGTCGACAGTATCCTTCACTACGACATCTCATTTGGAGAGATACGTTGTTACATTTCAGGGTTGTTTTGAGTATACTCAATGCCTAATACGTATAATCTAACTAGGCAGGTTCAAGTATGTCTAGCATCGCAGTGGATTCTATTTTTAATTCTGTTCTACATTTCTGAAATAACTAGAGAATAGAGAAGTAGCTTCATTTTGATTTGCCACAGGTTGATGGACTTTGATTAATATTTAACATCTTTTGTTGCTACCAAATTTCTTCTCAAACAAAATGTCATTTCTGGTGTCCTGTGCCATGATATAGCTGGAATATTGCGAAAAGTGGCGTAAAATCAAACTCACTCACTCAAACAAAATGTTTATAGGGTATAGGGATAAGGGTTTCTACACAAGGGGAATAACTCTGTACACATTCTTGTATTGTGCAATTCTCATTTTGCTTCTGCCGTTCTGAAGGAAGGGTGCATCGCTGTATTGATGTTGCCCCCACCATGTTTAATAATGACAGTCCTGGGTTGTGTTCTTATTGTAAGTCATGGTGTTAATTATTAAACATCAGCATCAAATGGTGGTCCTATGCATTTTGTTAGACTGCCTCCGTGGTGTAGTGGTTAGAGGCTCTGCCTGGGGAGCGGAAGGTTGCTGGTTCCATCCCCGACCGCGTCATACCAAAAGATGTTAAATAATGCTACTTGTTGGTCCCTGTTGGTGCTCGGCATTAATGGGTACAACAAGGACTGGTCGGCTCGGAGTCTGTATAATGTGTCTGAGTGGGGTATTCATGCTTAACTGTGGCATGATATCTCAGTGAGCTAGCACTATAAAACCAGCTTAAGTCTGGGCTAGTACAAGCAGCCACACATACATACACGTACATGTCGTCATATGAGCAAAATGTACTCAAGAATGACATTAAACCCCATTTCACCTCACCTCACCTATGCATTATGGTTACCAGAGAGTGCAACAGTATATAATCCTTTAAACAACATAAACTTAAATAATTCATAAATGACTATTGTTTGTGGTTTCAAACCTTGACACCTGTTAGCCATATCAGGCAAGATTCCACCCGCGTTCCCGAACTGTGACTGGCGGTTCAACGAGTTCCCGAACCCAGCTGCCCATGCTCTTCATGCCACGTGTGTGGAGCTGATGGCACTTCCTGTCAGTAGTCCCATCGTCGGCAATGCTCTGCTCGACGTGGCACTGAAGAGGTACAAAGATGACTTTTGGTGAGATCTAGCAGATCTAGTTGTTGTCTCATGTTGTACTCTAGCTAGATCTCCAGTTGTAAGTTCTTGTAGTGGATGGTTACAAGCTGGTTTGAACATAAGGATTGATAATGTGGAAGTATGATATTTTTCCTTATCCTGACTCATGCTTATTATGCTTGTCTCCTCCTTCTATGCGAATGATAGTGGAACACTTGAAATCCCTTGAAGTTCCCTTTTAAAGCGGACGTATAAGTACACTCACCCACGAGTTGCCTTCCCATGCATAGTTTCCCGCCCAAACAGTCACATGACTAACCATGCTTGTCACTCTTTCCTCCATCGCCCTGGTGGATGGTTGTGGCAACTTGGGAGACCCTTTACGGCACTATATCCTTTTATATTTTGACCCCTTAGCCCAAATTTAGCTGTATACGGTTTTCGGTCTGTATTATTTTTCAGTGTATATAGGAATTATGTCCAAATTTATGTAAAAATTGTTGCTTTCATCACATGTATTTGTTGTTTACATTTGATGAAATCGTGTTGTCTTTGCAGGCACCGACTGTCTGCGGCTGATCCGCACCCCCTTTGTCCTTCTTGTACTAATCAATGTTCTTCCAGCTCTCGCTGTCAATATTGTATAAAATTATCTACGTTTCAATTTAACAACTATTTGTTGGCCTTATTTAGATGTGCTAAGGACATGGTACGGAGGTTATCACAAGGCATGGCGGATAAAACGAGAGATAACGTCAGTAACCATGTGTTGTCATCTACAAATGAAACTAATGTTGCTAGTGATTTGCCAGGTTCGTCACAGGAGCAGACCTCTGTTATGAGGAAGAGGACAGCGTCAGCAGAGTTGGCTTCATCGCAGTCTAAGAAGCACAAGTCGTCATCTGTGATTTCACAGAAGAAGAAGACGGCTGCGTCGAAATCGTCTTCGGAAGTCTTCCAGTTCTACTAGACCTGGTCATCAGACGTCATTCAACGAAAATATCGTCCCCCCGGCAGAGGCAGACATCTTCGACAATCCGCCGATTTTGCTGCCAGAAGTTACCTTAGTCAGCAAAGTGTCGCAGCAACAGTCGTCGGCCAGATCTACGTCTTCAGTCGCTTCATCAGCGCAGCAGATGATTAGAGAATGTCCGTCAGCGTCGCAGACATCGGGTGCCAGAGAGAGAACATCAGCGTTTCTTCACTTCATTCACAACGCAGACTAGAAGATGAGGCCACTCGTTTACTCGTTTACTCCTCATCAGTCAGTGCAGAACTTTGACCAGGGTGCATTTATAAAGCAATTCACCCAACAGATGCTGTTCTTGATGGAACAGAGGTTCGCTGAAAAGAGGAGGTTACAGCAAGCTTCGGCGATAGCAGTACCCAGAATGGAGTCCACACCACAGGATGCAGCACTCGTTGATCATCAGTCGGCGAACACAGCTGTTGCAGATTATCATTTGACGGTTGCAGTCACGACGCAGGATCACCAGCGTTCGAGAAGCTCTTCACCTGCTGAGGATTCAACGTTATGCAGTCGTGAGGGATCCATGAATGTCAATGAGGAGAACATCGCCGTTCCATCTCCAGGGAATCTCCTCCGAGGCACGAACGCACCACGTCGGTATCAAGCAGATCCTACAGTCATAGATCTACTTCACCGGCCTGCAGGGAGGATCGTTCGCAAACAAGAGATTCCAGCCGTGATGAGCATTCGTGAAAGGACTTTCGCGAACGGAGGATCCTAGGAAGGACTCGCGATTGGAGCATGCGCGAAGGGATTTGCGAAGACACAGCTCGTCAGACAAGGATGAAGAGAGCGATGGGATCTTCGCCGATGCAGAGGTTACTTCATGGATCGTGAGTGGTCTTGACTTAGCATCTCCATCCAAGGAACGGAATGAAGCACTCACTTACAGAATGCTTGATGATGACTTTGATTCGCTCACGATCCCGCCTATTGAACCCATTGTAGGAGTCCCGGCAAGCCTCATTCTAGCCTTCGAGAAAGCAACGAAGTCACAGAACCAGCAGTTTTTAATGTGCAAAGATTCCCTCTTCACCACATGGAGCCATTTATGAGAGCGCCCGACTTAGATGAGCATCACAGACTTATCAACGATAGTCGCAGTAAACTATATAAAGTGTATGATAAAAAGATTGCACAGTTGGATACCACAACTAGACGCACATTCTTCGGACTGGCTAGGTCGAGAGCAATCAACAAGGTGCTCATTGCAAAGTTCCAGAACTCTCGTGATGAAGAGGATAGGATGATTTTATCTGCACTTCTCACCCAGAGGAGGGATCAACAATTCATGTCGGACCATTTGGCATCTACATCTGCGGGCCTTACGCTGTTAAGAAGACAAGGTCTTTTATCATCCTGCAACTGGAGCGAAAGATATACCAAGTCACTCCTGAGAGCCCCATGGTCGCCCCCACTCTTTTCGGCGGAGGAATTGAAGAGGTTGCCAAAGAGGTCACTCGTGACTCTAGAGAAGTGATGATGATTAAGTCGATCGACACCTTAGCGAATGTCATCCGCCAGACGTCTCATTGTTACAGCAACAAATCCAAGTTCACGAATATCCAGAAGGCCAAGGAGAGGAAATATTCTAGTTCCAGAGGAGCCAGAGGTCCTTTTCGTCGGCCATCCGGGAATACCAGCAATGCCTCGGGGCGAGGACGTCGCCCTAGAGGTTCCAGGGAGTCAAGACGGTGAAGAGGGGGTTCGGAACGACTGGAGTCTTCCACCCCCACCCGTTCCTGTGCAACCATCGACTGGGTGGACGTTTGCAGCACTACTGGGAAAATTGGGGAATACTGCAGGACAACTACGTATCTCAGATCCTTCGAGAAGGCTACAGAATTCAACTGAAAGCCACTCCTCCATTGACCGACAGACCGCACATAGAAGAGAAGCAGAGAAGCTGGGAGAGGCCATCAACACTCTGCTGGAAAATAATGCTCTCGAGATACTAGAACAAAATCGTCTAACGCCCGGATATCATTCCCCAATTTTCTTGGTTCCCAAGAAGAATTCCAAGGAGAAGTTCAGGCTGATCTACAACATGAAAAAGTTCAATCTAGATTACCTCCTCAAACCCGAGAAGTTCAAGATGGTCCATCTTCCTCAACTGCGGCGTCGTATTCGTCCAGCAGATTATCTAGCCAGCGTAGACCTGCAGGATGCGTACCTACACATCCCCATACATCAGGACTCAAGAAAGTATCTGCGATTCCTGTTTCTAGGTCGACATTTCCAGTGGAAAGTCCTGCCGTTTGAAATATCTTCGGCCCCATGGTTGTTTACACGAGTAACCAGGCCCATAGTCGCCTTTCTACATCATCAAGGTCTACGCAGTGCTTTCTACCTGGACAACGGTATTCAAGCACATCAGGAAGCCAGTCAGCTCAAGTTACAACTGGACTTCACCATGAGGCTCCTAACACAACTAGGTTGGCTAGTTAACCTACGGAAATCAGAATTGGAACCCACAAAGGATCTACAAATTCTAGGGATAAGGTTTGTCACAATAAAAAAATCGCATTGTAGTCCCAGAAGATCGTTGGATCAAGATACAAGCCATGATCCCGCAAACAGTCATCTCACCGTTGAATCTCCGAACATGTCAGCGCCTTCTGGGTCTACTCACCTCAGCGCAGGACCTAACTCGCAGAGGAAGATTACAACTACGTCCGTTGCAGCGATTTCTGAATACTCGCCTCAGCAGTACAGGGTTGATAACTCTACCAGAGAGTCTACAACCATTCCTGTTATGGTGGACTCACAAGTCGAATGTTTGCGGAGGAACTTATTTAGAAGAGCCGGTTTGCGATACACGTCTGTATGTGGATGCGTCGCTACAAGGATGGGGAACACACCTCAAGTGCAAGGTAGCTGCAGGAATGTGGTCGGAAAGGGAACGAAATCTGCACATCAATCAACTAGAGATGAAAGCAGTCATCAACGCCTTACAACATTGGTCGAAGTCTCTGATCAACAAAGCATTGACAGTGCACATGGACAACTCCACAGTGGCATTACATAAACAGACGATTTTGGACGAACTCGGTTCGACAAAGGACATCGTGCGGCAGCACATTTAAGACTTAGATGGGATTTTGTGGAAAAGAATCAGCTACCTGGTCAGCCAGATAGACAGTTTAATGTACCAGCCTTATCAACAATCCTCGGACAGGAGGATGTACAGGATTTATCTCTATGTCCGGTCAGAGCATTGAAAAGTTGGAAGAACAGGATTGTCAAGAAGTGCTGAATGATAGTTCCCATGGGGGTAGATACAGGACGTATTTAGGACAGCCAATAAATCCGAGCAGGTGACCTGACCCACCACCAATCCGTCGGATTCTGGAAGCATAATAAGCATGAGTCTGGATAAGGAAAAATATGTAATTTTCTGAATAAAATTGATATTTTATACTTATCCTGACTCATGATGTCAAGCCCTCCCAACCTCCCCACTAATGGCAGTTCGGATTTCTCAGTAAATCCACGTGTCGGGCATATTACGGAGAGAGTGACAAGCATGGTTAGTCATGTGACTGTTTTGGCGGGAAACTATGCAAGGGAGGCAACTCGTGGGTGAGTGTACTTATACGTCCGCTTTAAAGGGAACTACAAGGGATTTCAAGTGTTCCACTATCATTCGCATAGAAGGAGGAGACAAGCATAATAAGCATGAGTCAGGATAAGTATAAAATATCAATTTTATTCAGAAAATTACATTTTTAATGAAACTCTCATATCTGATGAATTTCCTTGATTTTCAAACACCTGTGCCTAGATTCTCGAAGCTCTCTTAAAGCTAAGATAGACGTAAGTGACATATATCAACATTCGCTTATGACTATCTTAACGCTAAGAGATCTTCGAAAATCTAGGCCCAGGGATATAACTTGACCTTCTCAGAGACCGAAAATTTTGCCACAAGTCTGCAGCAAATGTTTGAAATTGGATTTAAGAATTTCCTTGTTCCTTTTAATATGTACAACGTAGGTAATTTCATGGCTTTGCAATGAGGATTTCCCCAAGTTTTAGTATTGTTCAAACTGGCTTGTAACCAATTAGCTGTGCATGACGTGTGTAGCCATGACTACTCTGTGTTGTCTGTGTGTCTACTAGCATGTGATCCATTAACAGGGTGTGCTTCTCACTGGTGTGTCTAGCCTACTAAACATACCCAGGCCGAAGAAGGAGGTGGCACATCTTCATGGAGGAAATCGGTCCTGAGCATGGAGTCAAGTCATCTCCCTTTAGGCATTTCTTTGTCAAGAATTGCTATATTAATGAGGATAACTTAAGCGTTTCTTAAACATGGGTCTATTGATGTGTTCCATAATGTAATCATAATGACACAACTGTCAAGAGTTCATATTGAAGTAATGGACTTACGCCAGTCCAAGTGCTTAACATTGCTTTGTGGAAAATTGCCAAGGGAACCAAATTTTACTGTCATGAAATAATGTGTACATTGTTGGAGGTAAGTGATTAAGGAGAGACTTGTGTACAGATGGGAAATATATTTGTAGAAAATGTGTAAATCCTAAATCCCAAATTTGGCCATCTTTTGTAACCGATCAAACTGTATCCCACTATAGTGGCACAGTTAAATAACTGATTTGAAATGATGAATGGACAATCAAACCACCATAGTCTATGCCTACTGTAGGCTAGGTATAGGTACAGAGTTCGGATTTCTCTCACACAGTCAACACACAGTTAATGCCTTTCCTGTACCACAGGTCACTAGGAGTGAGTGAGTGAGTGAGTTTAGTTTTACGCCGCACTCAGCAATATCCCAGCTATATGGCGGCGGTCTGTAAATAATCGAGACTGGACCAGACAATCCAGTCATCAACAGCATGAGCATCGATCTGCGCAATTGGGAACCGATGACATGTGTCAACCAAGTCAGCGAAACTGACCACCCGATCCGTTCGCTAGCGCTTCTAACGACAAAGGCATGACAACCCGATCCCGTTAGTCGCCTTTTATGACAAGCACATGGGTTGCTGAAGACCTATTCTACCCAGGATCTTCATGGGTCCAGGTCACTAGGAGCAGCAGAACCATTGCTGCATCAGCATAAATGTTTGCAAGCTCTCACTATCAACACTGAATTGTGTTATTACTGATGTTTTTTTGTGTGTACAAACCATAATGTCTGAGACAATCAACATCACACTGGATCAATGATTCATTCATTCTCAGGACATCACTGTTGTCATCTGAGGCACTGGGGGTGGTGGGGTAGCCTAGTGGTTAAAGCATTTGGTCATCACGCTAAAGGCCCGGGTTCGATTCCCCACATGGGTACAATGTGTGAAGCCTATTTCTGGTGTCCCGTGATATTGCTGGAATATTGCTACAAGCAGCATAAAACCATACTCACTCACTCACTCTGTGGCACTGTGATTTGCTGTTTGGAGTTGTTCCTTAGGCGTTTATGTTTCTAGGCGTGTCAGCAACATACCTGTATTTGTAAGTGTCACCGGAGTGGTAAGCATCTGAGATCTGATCACCTCCACATCAAGCTGACTGCCGTGATATCACTTCTGTAGTGTTCAAGCAGCCTTGAAAGTCATTAACTCTTGTCCATAATTTCCATTTTCTGTTTGATAGTGTTAAAATTCAACAGAAATTTTACTTTTTTGTTGTATTGTATTGTTTTCTGACAGAAGTTTGGAGGTAAAATGTTAATTTCAAATAATACCACATCAGACTGTTACTTTCCTTGACATAGCATCTGCAACTGTAAAGCTGACAGTGTTTGTTAGTAATGACGAGGTCCAGCTAGTTGTGATTGGCTCTTGTGTTTGCTGCTGGACAGACATTGATTGGTGACATAGTAAAGTGGGCATCTCAACCAGTCCTTCACGGATTAGATTGCTGGGCCCCGTTTCACAAAGCTTTCGTAAGCCTAAGATCTCGTAACTTTCCTCGTAGCATTCGTACCTCTTATGTTACAGTATAGGAGGTACGAATGCTACGAGAAAAGTTACGAGATCTTAGGCATATGAGAGCTTTGTGAAACGGGGCCCTGGACGTTTCACTGTGTCAGTATATGTAAGGTGACTGGGTTGGGTGAAATAATGTTTTTGTGTCTGTCTTTTCTGGTACTAACACACATTTTATCTAGTTAAGGAAAGGGAATGATGGGATGGATCATAGTCCTGGGTATATGTTGTCATTATTTGACCTATGACTGTCACACATTCTGAAGACAAGGAACCCTTCTGTTGTACCCTGCATGCTATAATGCTTGTTGTCTGAAACCATGGGCGACTGTCACTGATCTGTCCTACTGGTCGTGTCAACGTAGTGCCAGAGATTATTCATGTTCTCTCCATACGTATTAACCAGTCATACTAATTGTTCTATTTCTAACTTTCAATGTGTCATGTCAAATATACTGTCCTTCCTCTACTGACCTGGGCCTAGATTTTCGAAGCTCTCTAAGCGCTGAGGTAGTCATAAGTGCCATACATTAACATTAACTTACGAATATCTTAGTGCTAAGAGAGCTTCGATAATCTAGGCCCTAAATTTTTTCAAAATATTTGTTACCATATGTGTATTGTTACCTACAAATCAACATCCTACTAGAAGTAAGAGTAAAAGGTAGAGAAGGTTGTCAGAATAGATCTGAGGATTTTTCTTTAGAATTCATGCATATTTATAGTAAAAAATAAACTTTTGAGGACCCAATGGATGGTTTGTTCCATGAATATGCATGAATTTTGCTAAAAATTCTGTTTGAGGTTTATGTTGTTTAGATAATTTATACAATCATTTTATAAAAGCACATTTCCATTCTAACAAAGTATTTTGTTTTACTTCAACAAAATTTAGGGTAGGTTGCTTGGCAAAGCAAGATAGTAAATCTTACCTTCATCTATCATTTTATATAATTTGATTTGGTGTGTTTTTGTAGAGTTTTGTTTATATAAAGCACGTGGTAGGAGTGTAGGCATTGATATTCAAAATATACATCCGTAATGGCCATTTTATGATACGTTTCATCTGTGTGAGTTTCTAGCATGTTTAGCTGTCTCTGTGGGCTTTCATCACACTAATATTGTACATATTCATGTTAATGATGATACAATAATCTGCATATATCTATGAACCACATAAACCATATATTTGTTGTTTTAGGACATATTCAGCAATATTCTAGTTGTGTAACAGCTACATGGATTGTTGTTCATTATATCAATCACTGGATTTCTGGTCTTGAATCAGTTATAACAGACAGGTGTCACACTGCTGGAATATTGCAGCCTTGAGCAACAACCACATGAACAATGTAAGACTTGGATATTCTGACTTGTCTACCTCAAGGAGGGCGCCGGGGTAGCCTAATGGTTAAAGCGTTGGCTTAGGGTAGACCGGGTTCACATGGGCACAATGTGTGAAGCCCATGTCTGGTGTCTCCCGCCGTGATGTTGCTGGAATATTGCTAAAAGCGGCGTAAAACCAAACTCAGTCAGTCAGTCTACCTCAAGGACTAATTAGGGTATTCAGAGAGAGGTTGTGGATTTGAAAGAAAACATTTAAGATGAAGTGACAGTATTTCCTAAACATTGTACTAAGCACAACTGTGGAGAAGCAGTAACTATTTTCTGTAGATGTTGACTCACAGATACAGCTAAACATGCTTGACGTGAATTATGTATGTAGAGACTACGTTGGGATATTGTTTTGACTCTGTGTGTGTTTTGCAGCTGTTTCCAACTTCCGCGGGACAAGATCATGTCATGGATGAATGCTGTTGGCCTGGTACTGACAGCTCTGCCTGTGAGTTGATTGTTGTCTGAGTCCATCTTTTATATGGTTCATCTGCATCTACTGGGGCTGCAATGAATATACTATGAGACAAATGTGATATGTAACTCAAATATTGGGTAACAAATACAATTACAAGTCATACATATCACAAATATTGGGTAACAAATACAATTACAAGTCATACATATCAAATATTGGGTAACAAATACAATTACAAGTCATACATATCACAAATATTGGGTAACAAATACAATTACAAGTCATATATCACAAATATTGGGTAACAAATACAATTACAAGTCATACATATCACAAATATTGGGTAACAAATACAATTACAAGTCATACATATCACAAATATTGGGTAACAAATACAATTACAAGTCATATTACAACATTGGGTACATATCATCACAAATATTGGGTAACAAATACAATTACAAGTCATACATATCACAAATATTGGGTAACAAATACAATTATAAGTCATACATATCACAAATATTGGGTAACAAATACAATTACAAGTCATACATATCACAAATATTGGGTAACAAATACAATTACAAGTCATACATATCACAAATATTGGGTAACAAATACAATTACAAGTCATACATATCACAAATATTGGGTAACAAATACAATTACAAGTCATACATATCACAAATATTGGGTAACAAATACAATTACAAGTCATACATATCACAAATATTGGGTAACAAATACAATTACAAGTCATACATATCACAAATATTGGGTAACAAATACAATTACAAGTCATACATATCACAAATATTGGGTAACAAATACAATTACAAGTCATACATATCACAAATATTGGGTAACAAATACAATTACAAGTCATACATATCACAAATATTGGGTAACAAATACAATTACAAGTCATACATATCACAAATATTGGGTAACAAATACAATTACAAGTCATATCACATCACACAAATATTGGGTCACAATCATATTGGGTACAAACAAATACAATTACAAGTCATATCATACATATCACAAATATTGGGTAACAAATACAATTACAAGTCATACATATCACAAATATTGGGTAACAAATACAATTACAAGTCATACATATCACAAATATTGGGTAACAAATACAATTACAAGTCATACATATCACAAATATTGGGTAACAAATACAATTACAAGTCATACATATCACAAATATTGGGTAACAAATACAATTACAAGTCATACATATCACAAATATTGGGTAACAAATACAATTACAAGTCATACATATCACAAATATTGGGTAACAAATACAATTACAAGTCATACATATCACAAATATTGGGTAACAAATACAATTACAAGTCATACATATCACAAATATTGGGTAACAAATACAATTACAAGTCATACATATCACAAATATTGGGTAACAAATACAATTACAAGTCATACATATCACAAATGTTGGGTAACAAATACAATTACAAGTCATACATATCACAAATATTGGGTAACAAATACAATTACAAGTCATACATATCACAAATATTGGGTAACAAATACAATTACAAGTCATACATATCACAAATATTGGGTAACAAATACAATTACAAGTCATACATATCACAAATATTGGGTAACAAATACAATTACAAGTCATACATATCACAAATATTAAGTAACAAATACAATTACAAGTCATACATATCACAAATATTGGGTAACAAATACAATTACAAGTCATACATATCACAAATATTGGGTAACAAATACAATTATTATAAGTCAAGTCATACATATCACAAATATTGGGTAACAAATACAATTATAAGTCATACATATCACAAATATTGGGTAACAAATACAATTACAAGTCATACATATCACAAATATTGGGTAACAAATACAATTACAAGTCAAATACATATCACAAATATTGGGTAACAAATACAATTACAAGTCATACATATCACAAATATTGGGTAACAAATACAATTACAAGTCATACATATCACAAATATTGGGTAACAAATACAATTACAAGTCATACATATCACAAATATTGGGTAACAAATACAATTACAAGTCATACATATCACAAATATTGGGTAACAAATACAATTACAAGTCATACATATCACAAATATTGGGTAACAAATACAATTACAAGTCATACATATCACAAATATTGGGTAACAAATACAATTACAAGTCATACATATCACAAATATTGGGTAACAAATACACATACCAGTCCACAGTAACATATCACAAATGTTGGGTAACAAATACAATTACAAGTCATACATATCACAAATGTTGGGTAACAAATACAATTACAAGTCATACATATCACAAATATTGGGTAACAAATACAATTACAAGTCATACATATCACAAATTTGGTAATACACAATAACAAATACAATTACAAGTCATACATATCACAAATATTGGGTAACAAATACAATTACAAGTCATACATATCACAAATATTGGGTAACAAATACAATTACAAGTCATATCACAAATATTGGGTAACAAATACAATCATACAAGTCCATACATATCACAAATTTAGTAACAAATACAATTACAAGTCATATCATCACAAATATTGGGTAACAAATACAATTACAAGTCATACATATCACAAATATTGGGTAACAAATACAATTACAAGTCATACATATCACAAATATTGGGTAACAAATACAATTACAAGTCATACATATCACAAATATTGGGTAACAAATACAATTACAAGTCATACATATCACAAATATTGGGTAACAAATACAATTACAAGTCATACATATCACAAATATTGGGTAACAAATACAATTACAAGTCATACATATCACAAATATTGGGTAACAAATACAATTACAAGTCATACATATCACAAATATTGGGTAACAAATACAATTACAAGTCATACATATCACAAATATTGGGTAACAAATACAATTACAAGTCATACATATCACAAATGTTATACAATTACAAGTCATACATATCACAAATATTGGGTAACAAATACAATTACAAGTCATACATATCACAAATATTGGGTAACAAATACAATTACAAGTCATACATATCACAAATATTGGGTAACAAATACAATTACAAGTCATACATATCAAATATTGGGTAACAAATACAATTACAAGTCATACATATCACAAATATTGGGTAACAAATACAATTACAAGTCATACATATCACAAATATTGGGTAACAAATACAATTACAAGTCATACATATCACAAATATTGGGTAACAAATACAATTACAAGTCATACATATCACAAATATTGGGTAACAAATACAATTACAAGTCATACATATCACAAATATTGGGTAACAAATACAATTACAAAATATTGGTCATACATATCACAAATATTGGGTAACAAATACAATTACAAGTCATACATATCACAAATATTGGGTAACAAATACAATTACAAGTCATACATATCACAAATATTGGGTAACAAATACAATTACAAGTCATACATATCACAAATATTGGGTAACAAATACAATTACAAGTCATACATATCACAAATATTGGGTAACAAATACAATTACAAGTCATACATATCACAAATATTGGGTAACAAATACAATTACAAGTCATACATATCACAAATATTGGGTAACAAATACAATTACAAGTCATACATATCACAAATATTGGATAACAAATACAATTACAAGTCATACATATCACAAATATTGGGTAACAAATACAATTACAAGTCATACATATCACAAATATTGGGTAACAAATACAATTACAAGTCATACATATCACAAATATTGGGTAACAAATACAATTACAAGTCATACATATCACAAATATTGGATAACAAATACAAGTACGCGTCAGCAAATACGCGTCAGCTGCTGATGTATATTCATTATTTTTAGTGATGCACTAACAAATTATTTTCTTTGACATGTTTTGACCATGTTTACATGTTTTTCTTGACGATGACCAGTGAACACATTTTGTATCATATTGTATTGGCTCTCATACTGCCTGGATTGGATACATTCCTTTTTGTATATTTCACATTGATAAATTACACCCACATTCAAAACACGCCTTTTATAAAACATTCCTTCATATTCAATTCTAGTGATCGCAGATGATGACTTGAATTCTGTAAGGAATTCCGTTCGTTTCATTGGGTACGAGAGTGAATCATAACAGCCCTGGTATCTACACTGGATAAAATGTGATTTGTGCAAATCAAGACCTCTGATTAGCTATTTGGTCACTTTGATATACTGATACATTGGGGAAAATCTGGATTCTCATTCTGTTTATGTAGTATTCATTTTTTTACTTGTTTTTATTTTTCAAAAATGATTTTAGTTAAAAGTGTTGAATCTGTCCGCATGTTCAGAGACAGCAGTTATGGCATCTCTGGTTTGCCTGATTCTGACCAATGATCATGCTGGAATAATGCTGACACTTGCTGTTGATGTTCAGGAGCCGTTCTGGGTGGTTCTGAATGACCGTATCGTGGATGCCTTCAACAGCACCCAGCTGACCCAGTCCAGCTACAAGTACCCCTTCCAGATGTTCAACTTCCACTCCAGCCATATCGTGTTTGCTGAGCAGCAGTGCAGCTACCTCCTCGGACTCTGTCACGCTATCTGGCACCACGCCGGCATCGGACAACTCAGTCAACTCCCACAGTACGGCCATGATGACATGCCAGGGGTCAAACAGGGAGTGATGAAAGGAAGGGGGGACCAGTGGGACAGAGGTTGATGGAAGGGAGGGGTAAACAGGGACAGGTTAATGGAACAGGGAGGGGGTTGATGGAAAGTAGGGTTAACAGGAAGGGGGGTTGATGGAAAGGAGGGTTAACAGGAAGGGGGGTGATGGAAAGGAGGATTAACAGGAAGGGGTTGATGGATAGGAGGGGTTCACAGGAGGGGTTGATGGAAAGGATCGCTTAACAGGAAGGGGGTTGATGGAAAGGAGGGGGTTAACAGGAAGGGGTTGATGGAAAGGAGGGGTTAACAGGAAGGGGTTGATGGGATGGAGGGGTTAAAAGGAGGGGGGTTGATGAAAGAAGGGTTAACAGGAAGGGTTGATGGAAAGGAGGGGTTAACAGGAGGGGTTGATGGAAAGGAGGTTAACAGGAAGGGTTGATGGAAAGGATGGTTAGCAGGAAGGGGTTGATGGAATGGAGGGGTTAACAGGGAGGGGTTGATGGAAAGGATCGGTTAACAGGAAGGGGTTGATGGAAAGGAGGGGGTTGATGGAAAGGATAGTTAACAGGAAGGGGTTGATGGAAAGGCGGGTTAACAGGAAGGGATTGATGGAAAGGCAGGGTTAACAGGAAGGGGGTTGATGGAAAGGAGGGGTTAACAGGGAAGGGGTTGATGGAAAGGAAGGGTTAACAGGAAGGGGGTTGATGGAAAGGAGGGGTTAACAGGAAGGGGATTGATGGAAAGGAAGGGTTAACAGGGAAGGGGTTGATGGAAAGGAGGGGTTAACAGGAAGGGGATTGATGGAAAGGAGAGGTTAACAGGAAGGGGATTGATGGAAAGGAGGGGTTAACAGGAAGGGGATTGATGGAAAGGAAGGGTTAACAGGGAAGGGGTTGATGGAAAGGAGGGGTTAACAGGGAAGGGGTTGATGGAAAGGAGGGGTTAACAGGGAGAGATTTCGTGTTTAAAAAAGCACTGTATCTTTGATAAATCTTGTTGCATTATCTGATTTAAATATGAAAAAGTATACTTAGTTTGATTTTATTTAATATTGACATCTCAAAACATTTAAAGCTGCTGTAACCTTTGACACATAAACAAGAACAAGTCAAAGTGATAACAATACTACAGATGGTATCAGGTTAAATATGGTCAAATAAGCCGTTACATTAGCAGTATCTTACAAACAAACCAGTCACATAAATCTGACAGACAATTGGCAATATGTTCCTGTGTTTGTGTCAGGTTCCTGAAGGAGCGTCTCAAGCCGATCATCAAGACAGAGGAACAGTATCTGTATCTGTGTCACCTGATCGGCCCCTTCCTGCAGCGCTTCCACGTCGAGAGAACCAGATGTCTGTTGGAAGTAAGTTGAGAACCAAACACATTGTTGATATTTGGTCTGATGTCCCCACAAATGTTTTTGCTAAGCCAGGATGATTGTCTTCACTTGAGTACCGGTACATGTGCTGGCAAAAATCGTTTTTCATGACAGCAGAATTTTTAATTTAGTTTTATATTTTTTATGATTAGTTTTATCATTTGTTTGCCCAGACCATCTATGGCAGTCTGTTACATGATGGCTGACTTTCTGTACCCATAGCCTACTTGCACTATGTGATCTTAGAGCTCTATCATAGTTGATGTTAAGATATGGAACTTACTATTGTCATAGTGTTAAGATTGCTCTGTGGCAGTGGGCCTATAATACTGCTACCACCTACATTGCTATCTGTGGTTGTTGTTGTTGCAGCTGACGGTGGAGCTGTATGAGATCCTGATGACTGTTGACAAGTCATGTGAACACCTCAACTTCATGGACCCCATCTGTGACTTCCTGTATCCTTCCTTTGTGTGTATCTCAGACACCAGACGACCTGTGAGGGTCCGGGTTGGAATATTGATCTTCAGTAACCCATGCTTGTCGTAAGAGGTGACTAACGGGATCGGGTGGTGAGGCTCACTGACTTGGTTGTCACATGTCATTGTGTCCCAATTGTGCAGATCAATGCTAATGCTGTTGATCACTGGATTGTCTGGTCCAGACTCGATTATTAACAGACCGCCACCATATAGCTGGAACATTGCTGGAGTGCAGCGTAAAACTAAACTCACTCACCCACTCAGATGCCAGGCACATCATCACTGTGTGGTTTGTGGTTCTGTCATCTAATGCATCATAGTATCCTGTGCTGAGTTGGATCCCAGTGATCTGAATGTGTTTGAATCCCAGAATCACCCTGTCTATGTACTGAGGTTTGTCAGCACCATACTCATGCTGATTGGTTTCACCAAAGGGGAAAATGTCTGGAGGCTTGCATCACATTAGGTTTTCCTCCCTGATTAAACTTTCACTCTGTGATATAAATGAAATACTGTTGAAAGCTGAGTCCAAATAAGCTGGCTCGCTCACTCACTGTCACCCTCCGACTCGCACACCCACCCACAAACTCACTCACTCACCCATTCACCCACCCACGCACCTTCAAACTCACTCATTCACTTACCCGCCCACCTACCGACAAACTCACTCACTCACTCCGGATATTTGGGTGGCTCTGCTGTAAAGGGACAGATGGTTTCTTGGCACATATGATTTGTGCACAATGTCCACATCCATAAGTCAATAATTGTAAAATCAAAATCTCCATAAGCAATTTCTTTGTATCTAGAAGACATTGATACTGATTTCTAACTGAAAAAAATGAACCCTCGCAGCCCTATTTTTTTGTGTTCCTTAGCTATCACCAGGTACCACATCAAGTATATGTTCATTGGAGATGGCGTGAAACATGACGTGGAGAAGGTGATACGCAATCTTCGACCTGCTCTTCAACTCCGCCTCCGTTTCATCTCCCACATCAACGTGGAGGAACCAGTGTCTGCCTGATAGATGCTCACTCCGTTGACCACTAGTGCGTCTGGTCCAACTGGATCTGCCATGATACATTGGATGTATTATGATTTAGTGGTATTACCGCTCTCAGTCACTTTGGTTGATACTATCATGGAAAGAATATAGCAAGGGCTTTGTGCAAGCAGCTGAAGAAGTTAATGAAATCCACAGTGGTGCTTGTAGCATTTCATCCTTTCAATTTACATGTAGGTGTGTACAATTGGAATGATCTGGACATAATTGAGGACACAAGTGAAAGTTGACTGGAGCAGGGATATTTGAAACATCACTCAACTTGATGGGAGTTACCTCCCCTTCTCCGAAGTGTCATGTCTGTCATATGATTTACAACAGAGATCAAACAGCATCTGATGAGCTTGATATGAAATAAGTAAAGATGACACTGTTGGTGAAGGAATGACATTAGTGATATCAGAAATCTTCTGCTTTGTTATCAGATGACAGTTGTTCGCAGATATATTGACATGTCATGAGAGTAACCTCCACCATGCATCACTTATTACACAAGACTATCATCAAAGCACAAGCAGGGGACTCGTATCCTGTACCCTGGAACTGTGAGGAATCAAACGTCAACATGCCTGACATACAGGATGTGCTATCAAGAACATCCAGATGTACAGGATCTCGGATCAGCTTTGCTAGGGGAAACATCCTCATGTGTAATATGATTCCTTGTAAAGAAATTTTTGTCAGGCCACCCAAGTTGGACGAGATATTTGTTTCAGTGCGTTGATGTTGTAATGCTTGGAAAGGGCTTAATGCAGGATCCGAACTAAGGAAATGGACAGGCATTTCCTTGTCTCAGCTAGCATTGCTTTAACTTACCGGTATGGTGTTGACTGTTGACCTAATCACTTATTTTCTCTAAAGAATGTTGTGTAATTCATTCCAGTGTTTGCCACTTTGCAAGGATAGACTTCCATTGTGTACCATTGTCCAGCTTCTTTCATTAAGCCATGTGAAGCCCATTTCTGGTGTCCCCCGCCGTGATGTTGCTGGAATATTGCTAAAAGCGGCGTAAAACCAATCTCAGTCAGTCATTCATTAAGCCATGTTTATTGTATCTGGTTCTGTTAAGGAGTTTATGTCATAGCCTGTACACTGCCATTGCTGACCAAACAGCTCGTCACTGTGAATGTAATGGATGCTTTCTGTGTGGTGTCAAGTGCTTGTCTGGGATCAGATAATTAGATCACTCTAAATAATTCTTGATACCTTAAAGCAGAGACTTACTGTTTTATGTGTGCATGTGTATAATTCTGACTATTTGTGTTGTCAAAATGTTTACTTCTGTCTCGGATGGTGATGATATTTAGCACCGTCCATTTGTTGAAAAGATCTGAGATCAGGTATGGAAGACCCAGGATGTATAAGGTTTGACTTTTATATAAACTTTTATAAACTTTTATATAAAAATCTGTAAACCAAGACAGGAAGGACAGAAAGGCCTCAGGTGGGTAGACGAAAGACAGTTGCTTCGTAGTAACGGGTAAGGAGGAAGAATAATAATCGTCACTTGATTTGGAGTCAGGTACGTGAAGAAACATTCACGCAAGCAACCTTTGTATAAAGTACTTGCTCTCAGCACTGCATGTTATTGTAGCCATGCCTTGCTTTCTGTCTCAGTCTCTATTGCTCATCTACATGTTGAAGTACACATCCTGATCAAACAGGCTATACTAAATGCAATATACACCTGTATGTCAGTGTCTCCAATTACAACAATCATTACTTTAATCAATATTCAAATTTGTTTTTCTCCAATGAATGTATTTCATATAACTGTGCATCCTGTACATGTCAATTTAATGTTCAGAAAACATGTCATTTAGGATGGAAAGTTCTGCTGCAGTATCACGTTCCTTGTCAACTAATCATTAAGTATTGACATTTTGACCAAGGTTAGTTTTCACAAGACTACAAAGTGTATGGATGCTGAGAGGCGTCTCACTTGACCAACCTGGAAGGACAGTGTGACAGAATTTGATTGGTTGGTCGTTCAGTGACATGGCTAGCTATTTTCAAACGTTCGTAGCTTATGATAACATGCTACCAGCTAGGGCCCTTATTCTCGAAACGTTCGTAGCCCTAAGAATTCTTAAATTGATTGTAGCCAATGTGGAAAAATGGGCTGAGAAGTTTGTAGAGCTACAAACGTTTCGAGAATAGCTAGCCAGACTCACTGCAGATAGGTGAACAATTGCTGATAGTCTGTTATTTCTGTATTTATTTACTGGTACCTCCATCTGTCATATGTTTATGGTGGTATGTTTCAGTGAACACAAGTCGATGAATGTTGTTACCAGTATGTTTTGATCCTCACACTTGTTGCTCTTCTCATGTAAACACTTGTAGCCCAGGTTCAAGGGGAACAGCTCACCCTATGTGAGAATGTAAATATTTATGTCAGTTTTTCACCAACAGTCTTACAATGCTTGAGTGATATTCAGTTGCTGAAGCTTTGGCTTAGGCCTCAATAAGTTAATGATTAGATTCTCTTCAAGCCTGCTGTTGTACCAAACACGCCATCAATGTTGCCAAGAACCAAGAGAAAGTCACTATGTTTACTTCCTGGTGCTCCTGAAATACCGGGGCGGTGGGGTAATCTAGTGGTTAAAGCGTTGGCTCGTCACGCCGAAGACCCGGGTTCGAATCCCTACATGAGTACAATAAGTGAAGCCTATTTCTGGTGTCCCCCGACGTGATATTGCTGGAATATTGCTAAAAGCGGCGTAAAACCAAACTCAGTCAGTCAGTCCTGAAATACAACCAATGCCCACTTGCACAGAGCTCTATGGCTATCTTAAGTCTATGTTCGAGTTTGTGAGTTAAGATCATCATAGGGCTAAGATCGCTTGGTGCAAGTAGGCCCAGATATTCTAATTCATAGTAAAAAATAACAATGGGTAATAATACTTATCTAACAAAAGGCATATGTACTGCTTCAACAATGGGTTTTCATTCTGCTCAAACAATGGGTATTTATTCTGCACCAGTTTCCAAAACACTGCTGCACTACACAATTTAGAAATATACATGTATTGAGAAGACTAGGTCAAGTATGACGGTACTTTGAGAAGAAAGGTTTATGAGAAGGCAGTTGTAGATAAATGTCTTTAGGCCGGATTCTGACTCACATGAATTTTTATGTTTATCTGTAAATCTAATTTTAATACTTAATGTATTGTGGCCTTAAAACTAATTAAAAATCATGGAAGTAGCCTGTTTGGATTTGTCTCAGTAACTTCACCAGGAATGATTTTGATTGCCACTGCAGCCATGAGGGTGGTATGTGTATAAATGGATGATGTTATATGAAGAGCAAGAGGAATGTCTGTTTTTGTGGATGATAGAGCTGGGATGATATGGTAACTGTTCTCAAAACAAGTGTTCATGAAGCAAATGTGTGACAGAAATGTTTTCATATGCCTGGTGCTTGCATAGTTGTCAGATAGGAAGGTGGTCTCAGTAGGTTGTGTCGTGATTGTTAAATGAAGGTAGGTGAACCTTTTGTACAGTAATGAAAATATAATGTCAACATATGCTTGTGGTTTGTTTTCTTTCATGACTGTTGGGTATATATGCTACAGACACCTCCATGATGTTTCCGGGTCTGCCATTGTGTAAGGTGTGTGTTTGCATGCACTCAAATTCAATACTGAACACTCTCCTGAACACAAAACGTCATCACTCATTCACTCCGACTCACAGGCTTATTCCCAGACAGCGGCGGTGGGATAGCCTAGTGGTTAAAGCGTTTGCTCGTCACGTCGAAGACCTGGGTTCGATTCCCAACATGGGTACTTGGGGTGAAGCCCATTTCTGGTGTTTCCTGCTGTGATACTCACTATTCCCAGACAAATTCAATCTTGGATTCATGCAGAACTCTCACATATATTTCATCACTGACTCGCGTATTCATGTCCACTCACTGACCCTAGACCATGTTCACTCTCTCACATACTTCTCACTCACTCACTCAGATGTGCACAGCTGATTGTTATTTCCGGCTCAAATACACACGGTAATCTTATTCTTAATTGATTTATAGAGCAAAAACTTTAATTAAAATTACACAGTGCTAGGATATGTCTTTGGGTTAAATAATAGTATTTTGTATTATATTTTACTGATGACTGCATCAGAATTCATCCCGTTATATTATTGTGCATGTTTGAACTTGATCGCCGGGAAACATGTGCACAGCTGATTGCTATTTCCGGCTCAGATACACACGGTAATCTTAATCCCTGCAAATAATACAATGCCCAGCAAAAACAACTTAGAACTGAAAAGGTAAATATTCTTGTCTAGTGATGTTTAATTGCAAATTTGACGTCTTTACTGACAAAGTTGTCTTCTGTTGTTTGTTCACACGAAGTGATATGATGTTGTTTTCTTACCCCTGGAAAAAGTTTGACAAAAGCGTAACCCATAGATAAGCTGACCCCCTTCTACAGACTGCTTTTTTGGTCCTCAGAATTCGGCTTATAGGCGGTAATAAACGGCTGACTCACTGAATACTCAAACCCCCCAGATACTATGTCGTATACTCACTGACACATTCACACTCACAAACTGGCTTTTTCTCACATACTGACTCCCAGATTACCTAACACACGCACACGATGTCAAGAAAAAAATTGCATCCTTGACAAATTTGTAAAGTACTTCAACCAGAACATCACAATATCCTTGATCAATTGGGATTGACAACAAGTAAACCATGTATTTTCTCTAACAGTAGCTCAAGTACCCGACGCATCTCCTATAGCTAGCTTGTGATTCAGGTGGGGAGTAGTGGCAGCACTTGGATGGAGTCGCAGGCCATCTCCTATAGCTAGCTTGTGATTCAGGTGGGGAGTAGTGGCAGCACTTGTATGGAGTCGGGGCCATCTCCTATAGCTAGCTTGTGATTCAGGTGGGGAGTAGTGGCAGCACTTGTATGGAGTCGTAGGCCATCTCCTATAGCTAGCTTGTGATTCAGGTGGGGAGTAGTGGCAGCACTTGTATGGAGTCGTAGGCCATCTCCTATAGCTAGCTTGTGATTCAGGTGGGGAGTAGTGGCAGCACTTGTATGGAGTCGTAGGCCATCTCCTATAGCTAGCTTGTGATTCAGGTGGGGAGTAGTGGCAGCACTTGTATGGAGTCGTAGGCCATCTCCTATAGCTAGCTTGTGATTCAGGTGGGGAGTAGTGGCAGCACTTGTATGGAGTCGTAGGCCATCTCCTATAGCTAGCTTGTGATTCAGGTGGGGAGTAGTGGCAGCACTTGGATGGAGTCGTAGGCCATCTCCTATAGCTAGCTTGTGATTCAGGTGGGGAGTAGTGGCAGCACTTGTATGGAGTCAGAGGCCATCTCCTATAGCTAGCTTGTGATTCAGGTGGGGAGTAGTGGCAGCACTTGTATGGAGTCGTAGGCCATCTCCTATAGCTAGCTTGTGATTCAGGTGGGGAGTAGTGGCAGCACTTGGATGGAGTCGTAGGCCATCTCCTATAGCTAGCTTGTGATTCAGGTGGGGAGTAGTGGCAGCACTTGGATGGAGTCGTAGGCCATCTCCTATAGCTAGCTTGTGATTCAGGTGGGGAGTAGTGGCAGCACTTGGATGGAGTCGTAGGCCATCTCCTATAGCTAGCTTGTGATTCAGGTGGGGAGTAGTGGCAGCACTTGGATGGAGTCGTAGGCCATCTCCTATAGCTAGCTTGTGATTCAGGTGGGGAGTAGTGGCAGCACTTGTATGGAGTCGTAGGCCATCTCCTATAGCTAGCTTGTGATTCAGGTGGGGAGTAGTGGCAGCACTTGGATGGAGTCATAGGCCATCTCCCTATAGCTAGCTTGTGATTCAGGTGGGGAGTAGTGGCAGCACTTGTATGGAGTCGTAGGCCATCTCCCTATAGCTAGCTTGTGATTCAGGTGGGGAGTAGTGGCAGCACTTGGATGGAGTCGTAGGCCATCTCCTATAGCTAGCTTGTGATTCAGGTGGGGAGTAGTGGCAGCACTTGTATGGAGTCGTAGAGGCCATCTCCTATAGCTAGCTTGTGATTCAGGTGGGGGGAGTAGTGGCAGCACTTGGATGGAGTCGTGGGCCATCTCCTATAGCTAGCTTGTGATTCAGGTGGGGAGTAGTGGCAGCACTTGTATGGAGTCGTAGGCCATCTCCTATAGCTAGCTTGTGATTCAGGTGGGGAGTAGTGGCAGCACTTGTATAGAGTCGTAGACCATCTCCTATAGCTAGCTTGTGATTCAGGTGGGGAGTAGTGGCAGCACTTGTATGGAGTCGTAGGCCATCTCCTATAGCTAGCTTGTGATTCAGGTGGGGAGTAGTGGCAGCACTTGGATGGAGTCGTAGACCATCTCCTATAGCTAGCTTGTGATTCAGGTGGGGAGTAGTGGCAGCACTTGGATGGAGTCGTAGACCATCTCCTATAGCTAGCTTGTGATTCAGGTGGGGAGTAGTGGCAGCACTTGTATGGAGTCGTGAGCCATCTCCTATAGCTAGCTTGTGATTCAGGTGGGGAGTAGTGGCAGCACTTGTATGGAGTCGTAGGCCATCTCCTATAGCTAGCTTGTGATTCAGGTGGGGAGTAGTGGCAGCACTTGGATGGAGTCGTAGGCCATCTCCTATAGCTAGCTTGTGATTCAGGTGGGGAGTAGTGGCAGCACTTGGATGGAGTCGTAGGCCATCTCCTATAGCTAGCTTGTGATTCAGGTGGGGAGTAGTGGCAGCACTTGTATGGAGTCGTAGGCCATCTCCTATAGCTAGCTTGTGATTCAGGTGGGGAGTAGTGGCAGCACTTGTATGGAGTCGTAGGCCATCTCCTATAGCTAGCTTGTGATTCAGGTGGGGAGTAGTGGCAGCACTTGGATGGAGTCGTAGGCCATCTCCTATAGCTAGCTTGTGATTCAGGTGGGGAGTAGTGGCAGCACTTGTATGGAGTCGTAGGCCATCTCCTATAGCTAGCTTGTGATTCAGGTGGGGAGTAGTGGCAGCACTTGTATGGAGTCGTAGGCCATCTCCTATAGCTAGCTTGTGATTCAGGTGGGGAGTAGTGGCAGCACTTGTATGGAGTCGTAGGCCATCTCCTATAGCTAGCTTGTGATTCAGGTGGGGAGTAGTGGCAGCACTTGTATGGAGTCGTAGGCCATCTTCTATAGCTAGCTTGTGATTCAGGTGGGAGTAGTGGCAGCACTTGTATGGAGTCGTAGGCCATCTCCTATAGCTAGCTTGTGATTCAGGTGGGGAGTAGTGGCAGCACTTGTATGGAGTCGTAGGCCATCTCCTATAGCTAGCTTGTGATTCAGGTGGGGAGTAGTGGCAGCACTTGGATGGAGTCGTAGGCCATCTCCTATAGCTAGCTTGTGATTCAGGTGGGAGAGTAGTGGCAGCACTTGTATGGAGTCGTAGGCCATCTCCTATAGCTAGCTTGTGATTCAGGTGGGAGAGTAGTGGCAGCACTTGGATGGAGTCGTAGGCCATCTCCTATAGCTAGCTTGTGATTCAGGTGGGGAGTAGTGGCAGCACTTGTATGGAGTCGTAGGCCATCTCCTATAGCTAGCTTGTGATTCAGGTGGGGAGTAGTGGCAGCACTTGGATGGAGTCGTAGGCCATCTCCTATAGCTAGCTTGTGATTCAGGTGGAGAGTAGTGGCAGCACTTGGATGGAGTCGTAGGCCATCTCCTATAGCTAGCTTGTGATTCAGGTGGGGAGTAGTGGCAGCACTTGGATGGAGTCGTAGGCCATCTCCTATAGCTAGCTTGTGATTCAGGTGGGGAGTAGTGGCAGCACTTGGATGGAGTCGTAGGCCATCTCCTATAGCTAGCTTGTGATTCAGGTGGAGAGTAGTGGCAGCACTTGTATGGAGTCGTAGGCCATCTCCTATAGCTAGCTTGTGATTCAGGTGGGGAGTAGTGGCAGCACTTGTATGGAGTCGTAGGCCATCTCCTATAGCTAGCTTGTGATTCAGGTGGGGAGTAGTGGCAGCACTTGGATGGAGTCGTAGGCCATCTCCTATAGCTAGCTTGTGATTCAGGTGGGGAGTAGTGGCAGCACTTGTATGGAGTCGTAGGCCATCTCCTATAGCTAGCTTGTGATTCAGGTGGGAGAGTAGTGGCAGCACTTGTATGGAGTCGTAGGCCATCTCCTATAGCTAGCTTGTGATTCAGGTGGGAGAGTAGTGGCAGCACTTGGATGGAGTCGTAGGCCATCTCCTATAGCTAGCTTGTGATTCAGGTGGGGAGTAGTGGCAGCACTTGTATGGAGTCGTAGGCCATCTCCTATAGCTAGCTTGTGATTCAGGTGGGAGTAGTGGCAGCACTTGTATGGAGTCGTAGGGCCATCTCCTATAGCTAGCTTGTGATTCAGGTGGGGAGTAGTGGCAGCACTTGGATGGAGTCGTAGGCCATCTCCTATAGCTAGCTTGTGATTCAGGTGGGGAGTAGTGGCAGCACTTGGATGGAGTCGTAGGCCATCTCCTATAGCTAGCTTGTGATTCAGGTGGGGAGTAGTGGCAGCACTTGTATGGAGTCGTAGGCCATCTCCTATA